TTAATTTATTTCTTTAAAGCCAACAGCTTTTCATGGAAGTTTCTATTCAAATGACTTTTCAGAATTGATTTATTTTTTTACCTGCCTCAAAGCTGGTTTTCGAATAGTTCCGAGAATCAATTTAAACTAATCTTATTTATGTAAATATTTTATAAAGCAATTTACATCACTATTGTGTATAAAAGTTTGAAAATTTCATTAAGATGAGTAAGTGGGATGTTACTTCCGCATCTCATAAATAAATTCATTCAACAACATCAAATTATTATCATAATCACGCGCATTTTATTGTTGTACTTAATTCTATGGAATGCATGCATTTTTAATATTTACATTAAGTCATATGTTATGTACCTCACACACCTACGCATGTTTCGTGGAGGTAAGAAGCATTAAATGAAAACGGGAAGAAGAAAAATTATTGTAACATTGTAAGAACATAAATTTCAATCGTGGCTTTCTTTTTTATATTTTATTATATTTTCTTTGTTTTAAGATGTATGACTGGTTGAGGATATATATTTAGTCGATACACAAAATGTATGACAATATCAAACATTGATGAGGCATTGATGAGTTCGCTCTATTTAGAGTCTTAGATGGATGAGGAAATATATTTGGCTAAGACACAAAATTTATGAAAATATGATCAGCATGAAGCATTGATGAATTCGCTCTGTTGAGAGTCTGAGATGAATAAGATTTTTCAGTTACGGGAATTATGAGAATATTTTTATTTTAGTTTATTTTGAGTTTTTTGGAGCTAGTTATTAGATGGAAATATTTAAATTAATGGTTGGATAATCATGAGTTGGAACCCAGATCTTATAAACAGCACTGATAATTTTTTGTTTTGCAGAAACACTCCTTGAAAGGACATGAAATGAATATCAGAAGAGAACCAACCAAATTTAATAACCAACCTATTTTGATTCTCAATAATGAGTGCATTGCATTTCAGATCATGTACAGTTCTTGGGGCTTGTTTCTAGGGCTACTTGAGATACTTTCCCGACTCAATGCTTTCAATTCAGCTTTAATAGCCTTATAAACTGGTCTCTTATTCATTGCAATCAAACGCGAGTTCATATTTCTACTCAAGCGGATTCATTATCAATATTCAAACAATTCTTAAAAAATTTGCACTAAACATTAAATCGCATAAAAATCTCTTACTTGCCTAACGCATTTACAATGAGATTAAAAAAATCTCTGAGAAATTTTTGAATTTATCTTCCAAACATTTTTATTATCATTACCACTTAAATAAGTGGAAATAAAACAGACCAACAATCCATTTGAGATACCTTCTTGGTCTAATTTCAAACACGAATGAATTTTGTCTCATGTTTCCCACAGGGATGCATTGACGCACTTTCTATCCTTCCTGTGTATTCGTACATAAACAATGCAATAGTGCAACGAGAGTACAAACAGGCGCCGCATCTGTTTTGCCTCTCACATGTGTTGTCATTCATATCTCTCATGTAATGCTATCTCTATCTGTTCTATATTCTTTCATTATTATTTTTGCTACATGTTTTTTAGTAGTTTTGGTTTATTTTTTTGCAAATCTAAAAGGAAATGTGAATAAATATAAACAATATATGAATCAAGTTAAGATATAAATATTTAATGATTAAGGCGCATGATTTTTAATTTATGTATAAACAAGATTAGTCTCGGGAATAAACATATTGATGAGAATTTTACAATATTTATTTAAAATCGCGAATCAATTAGGGGTCGTTTAAAAATGATGTCCACTGACAATCGTGTGTTTTTGAGCCGCTTCTTAAACTCCTCTCACTCAAAAATTATAACTTATTTGTGATCCATCCTTCGAATTTTTGATAGAACTTTAAAATTTCTACTGATTTCACCTTAATTAATATTCATACAGTCACCAATCAAGCCAGATGAATCAACAAAAGAAACATGTTTACTCGAAATCTAGTGAATTATATATTTTTGACGATGGAATCATTCGGCACCATGTGCAGTGGATGCATTTTATTCTTTTTTATCTTTTTGCTTCTGTTTCTGTTCTTTTAAATGAATTAAAATTTCTTTAGAAATTTAAATGAAAAAATAATGAAGTCATGAGATTTCATGGGCTTGATTTGTGGATGAATAAAAAAAAATGAGAATTTATGAATGCTTTGGTTGTGGATTTGTGATTTAAAAATTTAAATTATTTTTTATATCATTCCAAAAGTATCTTAATGATTTAATAAATTTTTAAATTTCTTCGGGTAATTTATAAATGATACTTTTGGTAAGCGGGGAGATCTAATGATGTATAAAACTTCTATTAATTTATGACAGAAAAGGGGGTCTAAAAACAGTATTTTTTAACCGACGTCATTCATTTCTTAAAAATTCCTTTCTTAAAATCTTGTTTATCAATTCCTTTACCTTCCCAAGAACATCATAAATAACTCCTTAAGGACTCCATTTATTTTAGGAAGTTAACAAAGAGTAAAGAACATCCAATTTCATAAATATTTAACCAACATCAACCATCCTACTTTCATATCCGAAATTTCACACAAAATTAGAAACTAATTTTGTCTCCATCTTAATTGAGTCTACCAAAGGAAATTAGATTTCGGAGAATAAGCAGACATTCTCGTTCACAATTAGACAAATGTTGGTACATAAATAGAAGCAGAAAATAGCAAAAAAAAAATATTTACGTTAATGATTTGGATATACAAAAAAAAATCCACACACATATACACGCACGCAAATATTCTTGAGATGAGAAAGTCGTCATCAGCATGCAACATAACTACCGCTCTGTCTTGAGTATTTATGTCCATGTATACACATATTTTTAGCTGCGGTTTGACTGAAAATTATTGTAGATGGGTAAGCAGTTTGTCTTTGAAGTGCAGTTTGCAGTTTGTTATCTTAAATATCCTCATTATTGGATATGAAGGAAGGTTTTTAATCGAGATTTGAGGACATTGTGAGTAGTTATTGTCTGATTGTTGAAAATCTCTTGAATAGGCATTTTCTAGACAAATTCATCTCAAACTATGTTTCTCGTAAAATTACTATGTCGCCCAACTTAAGATAAATAAAAGGTTCACTGTTTGGCAGTCTAAATAGTTCGCGAACCAATAATCTGGATTAAGATAGATTCCCAGACAATCTGACTTAATTTAAACAACATCTTAACATGTGGGTGTCATGGTCTGGATCGAAATTTCACTACAAATAGGTCTGATTTTTGTTAAGCCACCGTAGTCACAATCAATAGCCTATGAAATCCTAGAAATCAGACCAATTTATATCCATACTTATGATATATTTTACCAATTGAAAATAATCAAATTAAAAACTGCGTCCAATTTACAATTCCAAAAGATGACAATTTCAACTCATTCCTGTTTTATTGAGTCCGCAAAGGAAAACAGACACGGAAATTTTCATTTAAGATAACTTTTTGTTTTTATTTATTTTTAGACATTTCTTCTCTTTTTTTCTTGCTTGCTTCTCGCTAGACATTAACGACGACAGAGACAATTTTGTCGAGTGAGAGAAGATTTTTCATTTTCATGCTGAATGTGAACATGAGAATTCATAATATTGAGATCATCATACATTAAGTAACGCTCGTCAGAGTAACGTAAGCGCTCGTTTAATTCATTTCCTCTGTGCGAGATTAATAAAGAATAATCAAAATTACACAGCTGATTTGAAGAGACTCGAGATGAGACATAAGTGTCAATTCATAGAGAAATTGCAATAAATAGGCATACAAAAGAAGAAAATAAGGCGCACAACAAAGTGAATGTTGACTATTTATTATTATTTACGATGCTATAAAACCGAAAGTTGTGTGTGCAAGTTATAAAAAGTGAGTGAGACGGCGTATTGAATATAAAAAAATTCCAGCATCCTTCAACAGTACCGCAATCTCAAAAGAATTTTCGGTACGCGCATGATCAAAGACAAATTTTCCAGCTTCCTTTATCCACCTTCCAAATTATCTTTGCGAGTCTTTTTTTGCGATATCGCACTAAAAAAACGGGGAAACGAGACGTAAAATAGTGAAAAAATTGCAAAAATTGTTGAAAAAGTTTGAAAAACATCTCAAAAAGTGTTAATTACGTTGATGGACGCAACATTCTAGCCATTTGCGATAAAAATTTTGTGAAAAATTGTGAAATTTCAGAATAAAGTGAAAAAATAAAAAAGTGCAGGCAGGAAGGTAGTTGAAAATAATTTTACGACATCTAAGACCATCGATGGGATGCTTTTTAAGCTATAGGTGTGATAATTTTTTTAATTGAACCTAAGTCATAATAATTAAGAAGCTTAAAATCCTTAAATGTACCTTTATGTGCATTAAAATGACATTTGAAAAAAATTTCAGACATAAGAAGAATAGCTTTGTTGTTGTATATTGCGCTTTATGATCATAACGAAATACTTTTTTCCTCTCTCTGCAACAGATTTTCCCAAGGAGTTTCCCAAACTCACATCACTTAGTTGGAAAGAAAACGAAATTTTTTTTTTATTTGCGAGATAAAAAAAAATTCGGCAGTGAAAAAAAGTGGAAGTAAAATTATTAAGCACAATTAATGCTCAGGAAAATGGAATTAACAATAATTTTGACGATGGAATTGTGAAGCTTGTGAGTTAAGTGACAAAAAAAAATAGAGAGCCTTTTTAAAAAGTATAAAGGCGAGAGAAAAGAATCTTACACCTACCCTACCTCATCCAAAAAAATAAAAAGAAAAAGAAGAAGAAAATTTTTTCAGCTACGAGACTCAATTTCTTTCAAGATAAAATACAACCAAAACTTAATCTGGAATGGAGCGAATATTGCATCAAAGTCTTAAAAATTGTCGTCGTTACTGTATAAATATATATTATAATTAAGTCTACACACTTACATACAAAAGCTATAAAGCTATAAAAAAAGAGTAATTACAACAACAAATAATAAAAAAAATATTACAAGGAAGAAGCTCCAATCAGCCATTATGATTCACTGTCAACTTTTATCATTACTTGCACTGGTGCTCATTGTGAGATCACAACGTCCATTAAATAACACAAACACATCGAGCGTTATTGTGGAGCCATTTTTTGTGAAACCAACGAGCACTGCAATGCCAAAATATTATCCAGAACAGCGTGGTGGTGGCAATCCATACTTTAATTCAAATGATCCACTAAGTCCAAGACGAAGTGATCGATTGATGCCACCACCAAATGGCGATGTGTTTGTTCCAAGCCTTAGTGGTATTGTTGGCGATCATGGAAATTCACAGTCACAAGTGCCAGCATCAAATCGTCTACACAAAGTCAATAAACAGCGACAAAGTAAATTTACAATCAATCATTTGTATCAATTGGCAAAGAATCCGAATTTTACACTTAATCAACAGCCACCATATCGTGGTGAAGTGCATCATATCGGTGTGATAACAACAAAAAAGGAGGCACGACCAGAGAAATTCTTTAGTGGACCGAATGATAATCTTGATAGTCAACAAAAACAAAACACTGAATGGTCTGCTGGACATTCATTTCATGAAGTTCAGATACAGTTAAAGAATAAGAATCACATGCATACACCATCACCGCCAGCTTATGTGGCTGATGATATTGATTTCGATGAGAAGTTGGGCGTCAAATGTACATTTGAGAAGCCATGTGCATGGTCTTATGACTTGAATGTCAACGGGACCAATTTTGAAGTTACAACTGGTGCAAATTTGACAAATGCAAACATTACTGGCGTTACGCCAGGACCGTCTGCTGATAATTTGAATGATGCCAATGGAAACTTTCTACATCTTCCACTAACACCAGAAACGAGTACTCGAATTCTTCGATCACCAGTCTTTAGTTCGACACGTGAACGATGTTACCTTGAAGTCTTTCTTCATCAGAGTGCAATGATGCCTGGAACAATAAGAATTGTCATTGAGCCTGCCGCATCTGTCGAAAATTCATGGGTACCTGCTGAAATTATGGGCGATGATTTGAGAAAATGGAAATATCACACATTTGAAATTGATAGGTAAGTGTTGGACCTTATTATCCAATTATTGATTATTATTATTTACATAATCCAATTAAACTTTCTATAGGGTAACCTTTGACTTCCGCATTCTCTTCGAAATCGTCCCTAATGGTCTCGGTGGTGCATTGCGTGGTCATGTTAGCATCGACAACCTTAAAATGCGCAACTGTTTTGCTGACTCACCTCGAAAAGACTCATGCAGCTTATTGCAAATCAAATGCAATCAAAGCAGGATTCCAGTTTGCATTGAAAACGCTCGCATCTGTGATTTAGTACAAGATTGTGATGACTTAGAGGATGAGAACCTTAATTGCGGTGAGTTTGTTATTTATGCAACAAGTAAAGAGTTCTAGGAAGACAATGTCGTGTGGGGTGATCAATTATGAGATATTTGAACGTGTGCTCTATATTATTATAGACTGACATGAAGATTTGAACCTTAGAGTTATTCAAATTGTTGGCTTTATAGTTAGAATAATTTCAAAAAATAAATTGTGGAGTGTAGAGTTGATCAAACTTAAAATTCCATTCATGTCAAATACAATTTAGCCTACGTACCTAAAGTATTATTCCTAGAACTCATTACACTTAATGAATCATTCCTTTATGCTTAACATTAATATCAAAATAAATCCATTGCAGACAAAATTCCATTTGGTGGTCTCTGTGACTTTGAGAATGGCTGGTGTGGTTGGCAAAATTCTGGAAAGGCACTGCTGGATTGGAAACGAAATATTGGTCCAACACCGACTGAAAAGACTGGCCCAGAATTCGATCACACTTTTCAGCATACGAACAAGTCAGGCTACTATATGTTTGTAAATATGAATCAACATGCCGACGATCCTGAGAAGAAAGGTCATGCTGGATTTGCAAGTAATGCAGTCATAAATTCTGTGGTTTTTAATCCACCACCGCCAGCTCACTCAAATTTGTCATCACCATATCGCAACACATGCATGGCAAGGTTGTTTGTTCATCAATTCGGTATGAATGCTGGAAGTTTTAACGTGTCTGTCGTTGAAATGAAAGCAAAAGAAAACATCACAACAACACTGTGGTGGAGCTCAAAATCAATTGGCGACAAGTGGGAACGAGTTGAGGTTGTGCTTCCAAACATTACGTCCAAATACTTTTTTCAAATTGAAGCGCGCAAAGGAATGAGAATTTATAGTGACGTCGCTATTGATGACTTTTCTATGAGTCCTGAATGCTTTGGATATAACATACCGCCTGATCATCTCAACAATTACAATTATTGGGATCCGAGAATCGGTATTGACAAGAAACCCCATAAAGACTTTGTAGATAAGAAATGTAAGTAACAAATTTAACCTGTTGCACTTGCAAGTTCTTAATGTTGTTTATTGTTTACTTTTAGTTTATGAACTGTCAAATTGTGGTATACGTGGAATATACGGTCCTACACCTGAAGATTGCTCAAACTATTATAATAAATCAGACATTATGAGTAGTATTCGTGTATCTGATAAGCCTCCATTTAAGGGTATACAGATTTGGAAGGTTCCTAGCGAAGGATACTACACGTAAGTACATAACTCTTGCTTTTAAGCATTAGGGACAACCTCCTAGCCGAAATTGTCTATTGAATCTAATGCATATGTTATTCTTCCAGTATTATAGCAAAAGGCGCAAGTGGAGGATTGGGATCTGGAGGTGTATCATCGTCACGCGGAACAATTGTGAGTTCCGTAATGGAACTCCATAAAGATGAAGAAATTTACGTTCTCGTTGGTCAAATGGGTGAACATGCTTGCATCAAATCAATGGGAAATGAAAGAAATGAGCCATGCTCATCAAGATTGCCAAAACATCCTGAAAATCTAAAAGATTCCGTCTCGATTATAAATAAATTCCGAAATGATTTGCTTGAAAATGGAGCTGGCGGGGGTGGTGGAGCATCATTTGTATTTTTGGTAGGAATTTTATTCTCTTAAGATGTATTTTTAGCATCAAATATTATGAATTTTCGTACCTTATTTTATTTATGTTCATGTAGATGAATCAAGTGAACAAGGCAGTTCCATTGATTGTTGCTGGTGGTGGTGGTGGTCTTGGAATTGGAAGATATTTGGATGAAAATATTCAACAAGCTAAAGGAATTGTCTTGGAACGTGGAAATGTTAGTGGACAAGTTGAAATTGATGACTTTGATTCTTTGATGGCTGGACCTGGTGGTGAGTAGAGACTAGTTGTTTACAATTGGATATGTGTCATGTTAAAACATTTATTGTTGAATAAGGAATAGCATTTTACTTCCACGCATGTTTATAAATTTGACTTTATGTCACGCTGTTCCAAAAAAGAATTACGGATGGGAAGATATGAATCCCACTCATCCATGAATATTTAATGTTTAAGGAATAAGCTCCTTTTTTCTAATAGTGACAGATGGTACTGACTTTATAGTACCTGAGCAGTGAACTTAATAAGAGTGATAGTTCTATAGAGGAATCATTTAGATAGGGAAGGGGAATCTAATACGCTTCATCCCCCATTGCATTTGCATGATATAAATCCTTCAAAACATCTTAATTGCAATGAAAACTAAAATAAATTCATAAATCTAGGTGGATGGAATGCTCGAGAAGAAACGCCATTGGATCCTCACTTTGGTGCTTCATTGCTAGAAGGTGCACGAGGTGGAATTGCTTGTTATAAAACAGCTGGTCAAACACCACATCAATATTCAAATGGCGGATTTGGTGGTGGTGAGTTCTTGACATATATTAGATAACAGCGATGGAACTTGACATTTGACATTTAATTTAAATGTCATTTTTTTGTCTCCTCCTTTTTTGTTTAATAGGTGGTGGAGCTTGTCAATCAGGTGGAGGTGGAGGTGGTTTTGCTGGTGGTAATTCAATGCTCAGCTTCAATACGAATGTATCAACAAATCCAAATGCATTCTCGACGAACGGGGAAGGTGGATCTTCATACTTAGGCCTAACTAGAAGTATTCATGAATTATCATTTGTATATCCTGGCTCAAATAGTGGCCATGGATCAGTAATTTTAATACCTGCAATTGAGGGATGTGGTTGTGATTATCGTTGTGTTGCACTGGATGAATATCGATCTTTAGTTGCGTGCATATGTCCTGAAGGATGGCAATTAAAGCCTGATAATTTGACATCATGTGAAAGTAAGTTGATTGATTTTTTAACCACAAAAAGTAATTTCCTTAATGCTTAATTTACTTGTTATTGCAGTTATTATGGAAGTCTCAAATGATAATTATTACATGTACATATTCGGAGTTCTATCATTTCTACTAGTCGTTGCCCTTCTATTTTTAATGTTGATGTTATGTGAGTATTATTGGGATAGTTTTGTGATAGATTGAGTTTTTTCTAAAGTAAACCAAAAATAATTGCATTTGATTTGTATTTATTTCATCAGTATTTATTATACTACAATATAGTTTATAGCGAAATTTGTAGCTTCACACAAAAATTTATTTAATAAAATTATTTTTTGATTTTATTGCTTACATTTTAATTGGATTTTTTTAATTTTATTTTTCAAAATTTTTTAATCCTTACATCTCCAATTAAATTCTAATACCTAATTGTATTCTGTATCTTTTACCAAAATAGATAATCGTTTCCAAAGAAGACGACAAGCGGCAATGCGCCATAAGATGCTTCTTGAACAAGAAGTTCAATTAAGTCGATTACGACAAACAGAAGATTCAGCTTTAACTAATTTTAATCCAAATTATGGTTGTGATGGAATATTAAACGGAGGAAATGTTGATGTTAAAAGTTTACCGCAAGTTGCACGTGAAAGTTTGCGACTTGTTAAGTAAGTATTAATAGCACCTTCCATGCTCAATTGACGTCATTAAAACATTAAAAATAATACTTTAATGAATGATTTATTTTTTCAGAGCACTCGGTCAAGGTGCTTTTGGTGAAGTCTATCAAGGATTATATAGACATCGCGATGGTGACACCGTTGAGATGCCAGTTGCTGTCAAAACCCTTCCTGAATTGTCAACTGGTCAAGCTGAATCGGATTTCTTAATGGAAGCAGCAATCATGGCTAAATTTAATCATCCAAATATCGTCCATTTAATTGGTGTCTGCTTCGATCGACATCCACGTTTCATTGTCCTTGAGTTGCTGGCTGGAGGCGATTTGAAAAATTTCCTTCGTGAAGGACGCAATAAGCCTGAACGTCCATCACCATTGACAATGAAGGATCTTATATTCTGTGCATTGGATGTTGCAAAAGGATGCAGATATATGGAGAGTAAAAGATTCATCCATAGAGACATTGCGGCTAGGAATTGCTTGTTGAGTAGTAAAGGACCTGGTCGTGTAGTTAAAATTGCAGGTAAACTGCTGCTCATGCTTATTATGAATTTGATATTAAGCCACAATTTTTTTTTTTAATTTCAAGATTTTGGCATGGCTCGAGACATTTACCGGTCTGATTATTATCGTAAAGGTGGAAAGGCAATGCTACCTATAAAATGGATGGTAAGATTTCATTAGACAAAATAAGTTCATTGATGCATAAGAAGTTGCAATTTCATATTTGACCTTTTCCGTTTTGTTCTTGTCTTGCTTCTAATTTAGCCACCAGAGGCATTTTTAGATGGAATTTTCACAAGCAAAACAGACGTTTGGAGTTTCGGTGTTTTACTGTGGGAAGTATTTTCACTTGGTCTTATGCCTTACACAGGTCTACCAAATCGTGATGTAATGCAACTTGTCACAGGTGGTGGTCGTCTTGGTGAGTTAAAAAAATAATCATTTTTATCTTTTTGTGTCATCTCATTGATTTATATTTTATTACAAATAGATGCACCGCCAGGCTGTCCACCGCAAATTTATCGCATAATGGCTGAATGTTGGAATCCAACTCCAGAAGCACGTCCTACATTCTCAGTATTGTTAGAACGCCTTACTACGTGCACACAAGATCCAGAAATTATGAATTCACCATTACCGAGCTTCTTCCGCCCACAATCAATGGAACGTGATGCAACAATAATGAGACCATCTGGAAATGATGATTTCTGTTTACAAGTTCCAAACTCATCGGATTATCTAATTCCTCTACCCGACTCACGAGCCATTGCCGAAAGATTGATTAATGAGGCCACATGTGTTACACTTCCAGACTCACTTCCAACCTATACACTCACAAATTCACACAAAATGTCAGATAATAATTGCTGGGAAACGTCATTCACAAATGCTAATAAGATGAGTAGCTCAGACAGTATTGATGTAAGTTTTGTCATATAATCTTAGAAACATATAATGGTCTGGGTTGTGTCTAGATCTGAGAACAATAGTTGCTAAATCTTTCTCACTTTACAGGACCGCTTGATCAGTCTCGATACCCCAACAACAATTCAACCACCCCAAGCATTTTGTAATAGTCCAATTCAGACATTATCTTCAAACAACAACAACAATAATAAGCCAAATGCCATTACACTCGATCCATCCGCATTGCAGCAAGGCTATGCTAATGTTAAAATGATGAATGGAAATGAAAAGTTGGAAAATGATATGTCAAAGTACAATGGTGGCACCACAATGGTAATGATGAACAATAATAACAATAACAATAGTAATGGAATGATAACAAAAGATAAGAACTGTAATCAGCCATTCTCGATACCAATGCAGAATTACAATGAAAATTTTAAGGAGAATCATGCTGAAATAAGCTGTTAATTTATCAGTTGTGCATCATTACAGGTTGATTAAGAATAAGGAAAAAGTTCAAATTCAATAAGCGCATGGCTCTGAAGTTAATGATGAATTTTTCTGATTTAAGACTGATTTAATCTAGTCAAAATTTACGATAATTTTAAGCTGGCTCATTTAGTTTTGTAAAAAAAAAAGAATTGTTGAATATTTTTATAGAAATATTTTTGCTCATTGCAAGCTAGTATAAAGTTTTTGATTTAAATGATTAATTTGGGGATTCAAAATTAATGAAACTAGAGGTAAGGTTAGGTTGCTCCATAAAATCATGAACCAACAAAGTTGGGATCAGGAGGTTTTCGATCGTACCTTAGCTAAACTATAGATTATAGGGGTTCTTTAACTTTGTGGTATATTACACTAGAATGTTTCACGAGTGAACAAAAGGTTGAGAAGCACTGTTTAAAGATAATTTGGCTAAGGTACGAATGAGAAACGAGCCCCTGGATGTTAAGCTTCAAGTATCTTAAAAATTCATCCGAAAATCAGAGTTAATGCGCTTATAGAAGCTCATTGAGTATGCTGTCCATCTCTGGAGTCGATATTTTTGATATATTTAAACTATATTAAAGAATATGAACTAGGCATACCCTAGTGTAGGTTTATGAACCTAAGTCTAGCTAAACCTAGGACATATTCTCTAGTATAGCTAAAGTATACTCTAAAAACCGACTTTTATTCATATCCGAGAATAAGGTTAAAACTAGATGGTCAGCATATCAATGATGATTGAAATACTCAAAAAGTAAAAGAATGTCAAGAAAAAATAAAAATATTCATATTTTTGATTAAAAAACAAAAAAAAACAGTGAAATACGTATGGAGACTGAATAGATGAATTTTATGAACATAAAACACACAAAAATACTATATTTAAAAATATGGAAACTATTCTCTTAGAATGGAATGTAAATTTAAATAAGAAAAAAAATCACTGCAAAAAAAATCATTAACTTATATGATCACACCCCGTAAGACAGAATTCCACCCCAAGTTTAATGCTCAAAAGGATGAAAAGAAGCTCATTATCTTTTGATTTATGCTATAAGCAGGAGAAATTATGGTAGTTTGATATGAAAATAAAGTATTTTTATTAAATGAAAAAAAAAATCATACATATTAAGATATAAAAAAAAATGATGAAGAAATTCAACAGAAAGCTTTAATTAACCCAAAATGAAAAAAATATATGAAATAAAAAAATTTTGACGTGAATTTAAAAAAATAATGATGACAAAAGAAATAAAAATTAAATGAATGATTGTATGAATTAAAAACAAGTGTTTTAGCGATAAATTATAATGAAATCATAATAATAATAATAATAATAAAGATAACAATAATAAATAGAGTGTAATAAATTAGTTAATGAATAATACATTTGTAATACATTATTCAGAACAAAACAAAAATCACAAAAAATATCCGCATTTAATGGTGACACACATTTTAAGTATTACATGAATGACGGCAAGATCATACATGACTAATTGGAATAACTCAGTTAAATATGTAGAAAATTATAGAAAAAATGTTATTAAGGAGATTGCAAAATGTTTGAGGAGAAGTTTCTTTTAATCAAAAATGAGGTAGAATTGTCCTTATTAGTACCAAATATCAAGATGTTCTAGATAAGGGCTAGATGCCTAAAAACTTCTTTCTTAACGTTGGTTTGTGGAGATTTAATCTAAATCAGTGGCTTCATGAGTGTTGTACGATTATGGTTGTTGCGTAGGCACCTTCTCCTAAAGGATGTAAGATTTCAATTTAGTTACAAATGTCAAAATCCAAAGATTCCCATCAATCAATAAAAGTCAGCATTTAGATCTTTATAAAAATCTAAACAATAATACAAATGGTCGAAAATTTTTCCAAAAATTATTCATTCTCAAAAAGTTATAGATCATTGATAGAATGCATGTATTTTGAATCTATTTTTCAAATCTGACTTATTCTATCAATTTTGATCACAAACTTCCAACAAAACCAGAACTTTGGATCTACATTTCATTGAAGTTATTCAAGAACGTCAACGAGATTCAAAAGAATGCTTCAAGTTTCGTGAATCATTTAGTTTAAATTTTTAATTAATCATCTCCTTAATTTGCAGACCGGACAGATCAATTTTCGACCATAAATTTATAATGATTTAATAAATTAAATTTAAATCTCAGACTAAAGCAAGGAGTACAAAATGTTTCGCTAAAGTGATTTATTCGAGTTACTGTAGTTATTCAGTATAGAACTTTATCGAAAATTTGAACTCCTGGGTTGGTTCCACTGACATTTAAGTTTGATTAACCGAAAAATTAAAGATTTTTATTATTTTATGGCAACCTTAAAAGAGAAGGATAGTTGAGCTCATAAATAAACGATCCTCAAACATTTTAAAGTTTCCTCTCCTTTCAAAATTCAAAACCTCATCCCAAACAACCAAAAAACAAGTAACAAAACCAAAAGAATTTCCATCTGATAAGCAATTTTATTCCAAGAAAGAACAAAAGTTTAATAAAAATTGCAATAGAAGAAATCGCTGAAAATAGAAATTTAACTACGAAAAAAGATATTCACAGTGTAATAATAAATATATTTACATAATAGTACATAGAAGACAGTCAAGTACCGTGAAGATTCATTCATTCATTCGCTCATCCATTCATGCAAAAGAATAACAGAACAACAAATACATTGCGACATAAATTTTTAAGAAGAAATTTTCTGAATGTTCTCTAAAAAAACATAGTAAATAATCGCATCTATAAATGATAACTATTTGGAGAATATCCATATATAAATATGTGAAAACAGAAATGAAGACAGAGTTGGTGGTTTGGAGAAATTTTTGATGGGGATTTTGTACATTTCGATTATGAATTTCTTGTTCAGCTTCTGGAGGGAATTGAACTCACATCTGAACAAGAACAAGAATTCCAGATAAGAAGTCTTTTGCTTACTAAATCGGCGAAGAAGACCTTATTCTCATTTTTGTTAAATGGTCTACATATGACTTGATATCCCTTTATCTGCTCTGAGTACGAACCTGAACAAAGTTTTCAAAAATGATCCAAGGTCAGTTGGATCATACAATAAAAAGCGCTCTACATCTCTAGATCAAGGATGTTGTACTGATCCAAAAACTCGCTCTCGAATTCAGTAAATGAATGAAATGTCTATAAATGAATGAAATGTCTATAAATTCTCTTTTAAAGACCTCCTTCAAGCACCAACCCTGGCTGACTCAAAGTTTTCAATTAAAAAAAGAAATATATATTGTGAAAAAAATATTGGTCTTCATGTAATAAATGGAAAGATGAAATTGATATAAAAGTGAAAAAAATACAAATATGTCCAAAAATACAACAAAAAAAAATGTGTAAATAATTTTATAAACGGGTAAATTTAACTAAAACAAAAAAATGACAGCATAAAGAAAATAATATTCAAGTTTCAAATTTCTTGAAGCATATTGCGGAAGTTTAGATATCTGACATTCAATCCCATGAGAATCCTTATTGTTTACTGAAAAAAGGACCTAATTTGTTGATGGACAAAAACAGGAGTTGGGAAAAAATTTTCTTCTAGCACATCCGCTAGCCTTCAATCCTTTGGAATTCCTCATCAATCATTCATTACATAAAAGAAAGAAAAAACAACTCGTTGACCTTTTCTGGTTAATGTAGCTTCCACCTACACACAACTTCAGTGAGAAAGGAACTTAAATGTCATGTGTAATTTGGAAGAAATCAGGCCTACTTACTTTGTGTAATGGTAATTCAATGAGTAGCTGCAATGGAATTTACTTTGTATAATTACGAAGTCTCGTGAATAGATTTTTCTCAGAATTTTATACGTGAAATGTCATGAACATGCTGTAATTTTGTTTATTTTTATGAAGTCTCGGTAGACTGTAGTACTCTGCATTAAGTGAGAGTGATATTTAACTTTTGGAAGCATTAAATTTGTGAACGTCATGAGTTTTTTCTTTCATTTTTTTACATTTTTTTTTATTTTGTGTCATGGCAGTTGCGTCATACTTTGATCTCATCAACGAAGATGTTACGTATTTTGAGATCTGAATAATGTTTGTTTTTATTCCAAATCTCGATGGATTTGGGGAGATTCTATCTTACTGACGTGGAGCTGAGTGAAAGTACTGGAAGGAAAGTTTTCAAATTCTTTTTGATTCCTCAGCATTTTGATTCATTTTCATAAACATTTTAAATGAATAAAAACTAATTTCAAAGTGGCAATCTTGAGAGATCTGTAAAGAGATCTGTAAAGACATCTAAAAAAAATTTTAAAAATAAAAAACTTTGTTTTTATTTTCAAAAGTTTCTAATGAAAAAAAAAGAAAAATTGCACACAGGGTAAAAATTCTCAAAATTATTTAATTTTAAAAATAAAAAAACGTGGTAAAAAAAGAAAATTTGGCTTGGAAACTAGAAACATGGTCGAAAAAATTTAAAATAAATTAATAAATAACTGTTTCTATTCCTATTCTTTTTATAAAGGGCCTTGATTTTTCATTGCAAGTTTCAATCTCAAATGAGTTTCACTTTTTTTCCTCACTTCTTTGCTTCTCACTTTAATATAAGATTCATAACTGGAAGAATATTAATCTTAATTATTCGATTGTAAAATTGCCTTAGTTTCCAAAAGACTCAATAAAATTAAATTTTCTAGTTTCCAAGTTCACAGTCAAAAAATGAAACAAAAATGTCAAGAATAATATTTTTATTATTTCAATAAATTCACAAATCGCATGAATGGTCAAAATTAAGCAAAAAATCGAAAATATGAAAACTTTGACAGTTAAAAAAACTATTATAGATGCATATAAAATCTGTATAATGTTAATTTATGTAAAAGAAGATCATACATCAAATAAACAAATGTGGAAATGGATGAGGAATAAAGTAATAAATAATAAATAAATAATAATAATATTTTAATGTATTATTGAAATGTATTTCGTAACGAAAACAAACAAAAAAGGGAGAAAGCCACTCACTGTACATTATTGTAGCATTTAAGAAGTGAAATGAAGTTTAAAATAATATCCAAGGCAGGATTATGTGAAGGTGAATGGAAGTAAATCACATAGAAATTGATAATCCCAAGATACTGTCATAAAAAGTTTAAATGTTTAAATAATGAAGACAAGAACTATTTTTGAATGACAAATAAGAAAGTTTTTAAGTTCTTCTCACTTTCTCTATCTACAGTTTTAAAGTTTAGTTCATTTTGTGTAAGCATAAGTTTTTAGAATGAACAAACAAAAGTTAAAAATATTTTTACAAATTTTTTAAAAACCTATCAAAATTAAGTGCATATTTAATTCATGCAAAAATGCATTAAAAAATGAAAGAAAACAACAACGAAAGTTTTGAAAATTTTTAAGTAAAATAAATCGCCTTTTAATGATAATTAATGATAATTTTCTGATAATAATAATTTTTGAGGGCCTTTCTTTAGAGCTGATTTTAGAATCTTTGCTTAATGAACTTTTTATTCTTATCAATAAACCTTTGTCAATACCATCTAATGACTTTGATGATGTCATCTAAGTTCAAGTTCAGGTTCAGATAAAAAAATCATATAAAATTAGCATAGCTATGCATAGCCATAAAGGGTTATGATTGAGGGAGGAGCTTTGCAGCAGCAAGCATCAGCAATGAGAAAGTCATTGTGTCATAACCTTAACATTTTGTACATTTCTGCAGAAGAACTATTTTATATCCCATGTGTCCTCCACCCGAATGGCACAAGTCGGTTAATCAATCAGGAATCCGGCACCAAGCTGGTGTTACACTGGCATGGTGCTGAATTTAAATCGAAGTCGATAACACCCAAAAATCCTCTGAAAACCCCCTAAACATAGCTTAGTAAAGCTTTAATTTTAGCAAAGAAACCAAATTCAGTTTCAAAGACATTTCTCTCCAAAAAATAACAGTTCCTAAGTTTCAATATCTAACTTAATCTTTCATTCTTTAATAGAATAGATTTAAAAATTTTTTCTAAACCAATTTTGTTAACATTTTTTTTTGATAATTTCATGAAAAAAAAGAAGTAATTGATCTATAGGAAAAAATAGGTATTAATGAGTGTGATATATGATTATATTGATATATTGATGAATTCTACTAATATGTCAAAAAAAATAAGGATGAAAAAAAAAATATTAGTTGTTTTAATAATAACAATTACTCATACTTGGAGAAAATGCTGTTATCAATTTGATATATATTATATACTTTTTATGTTCACAATCACATAAATTTTATATCGAAAACAAAAAACAAAAAAATTGAGATGTGAGAAATAAAAAAAACAATGCAGAAAGGTACATTAAAATATTTGGAAGTAAAAAAAATTAAAGCTTTCGGTTACCAAAATTCCAAAAAAAACATGAAATCTTGAGAGAAAAATTCTTTCATGTAAAAAAAGGGAAATGAGAAGAAATTGAATGAAAAAATTGTTAAAAATTGAACGTTAAAAAAGAGAATGGAAAATATGGAAAGAAAAAAATGTTTATTGTACTTAAATGATAATGAAAAAAAAATTAAAAATTATCTCATAAACTAATAAAAGGATATATTTATAAATACAAAAACAAAGATGTTTGATCGTTTTAATCCAACGTGCAGATCTTCAAAATCACTGTTCAATTTTGAGATGAGCTAGAAACTCTCAAAACATTTTGACATCTCCGTCCCATCCCTTTGAAACCTAACTTCGAAAACATGCAAAGGTCTGAAGCTGAGTAAATTATACAAAACTTACTGCACTAAATAGAGTGAGGGCAAATCTATCAAAAATCTTTCGGAAATAAATTCGTCAGGATTCTCTATTTGAGGAAAATGGAAAGCACTCAATAAAGCGTGTGCTGTAATTATCTATTGCTGTAGTAATCCCTTAAATCAGCTTCTATATAGAAATGTCTCGGAATCATCAGTTCTGATGAATATAAAAACTCTTTAATCACTTACTTGAGATACTTAAATTCATTCAAGCTTTGAATGTCAATTCTCCATCTTCGATCTCATTTTGGATATTCTTGTTTAATTTTTCTTGTATTTTTGGATGTTTTGCAATCATGCGGAGTGTAAAGCAAATTGCATTCGTTGTTGTGTCATGCTCATCGAATGTGTCAACTCCATGTTGAATGTTTTCATTGCTCAATGGTTTGTTGTTGATTGTTGGTTGTTGTGAAACATCAAGTAAATGCATTTCAGTTTTCATTCCAACATCTTTATCGTCTTTGACTTCTTAGCTTTCGTCTTTCTTCAATGATTTTTGCAACGGGTGAGGGCTCGTCTCTTCTCATTGCATTACAAATTTTTCACGATAAAAGTTCTACTATCCTTAAATGACATACACGAAATCTGTTTCAGTATGTTAAATTTCATCATCAACAAAAAATTAAAAACATGTCAAAGCAACAATTGAAAAAATCCTTTTTTTTTTGAATTCAAAACAACGAAAAAATATTTCGATTGAAGGAAATTTTAGAATGAAGGAGGATGATGACATAAAATGATAAAATGCATGATGACTCCATATCAAAGGACAAAACAACAACATAGGATAAAAGAATAAGATTGCGATGAGATTATGGACGAAGAAAAAGTGAACTTAAAAGAAGAAGAAGCTGTTTTGGAAAAAAAAACAATGACGAAAAGACATATCGAGAGATGCGGTGATGAAAAGGAAAAAAAGAAGTTATTACAGTCTTACGCTCGAAATTTATGGAATGACTACTTAAAACGATATTCTTCAATATGACATGAAATATCACATTCAAACACTGTACAAAAAAAGATCAAATCAAGCATGCAAGAATCAAATCGTGTTCATCCACCAATTTAAGGTCTCTGGACCACCACTGGAATTAAAACATGGACAATGTCAAAACTTTGAAAGGATCATGCATTATTTTTGGAAGTAAAATCAAGGTTTCAAATTCTTTCCAGTTTAGCGCCAACTTCAAGCTTTACTCTTTAATATTTAAAATGTTATGTCTAGTTCGTTGATAGTCAAAGAATACAAGATGCACATCGAAAGATTTCATCTCCATCGAAATATTCCTGTGGTTCTCAGAAACATCATTGTCTGTTCATGACAATAATACTAAAGTAAGTTTCAGTAAAATATTTCAACTTTCTAATTCCAAAAATAAATTGCGTTCTTTGACTCTCATTGACAAATCTATTCTTCTTCAAGTTGTTCAATCAATTTATTTTTTTATTCCTTTTTTTTTAAAGAATTCAAGAGATTACTTCAAAGGAGGAAGATAAAGATGAAGACAAAAAGGAGAAAGGAAGTAACTTCAACTGGAGCGAATCCACCGACAACCACTAAACAAGCAGAGAAGATTATTATTTTTCTAATTATATATTTTTAAATTATAACTAATGTTTTCCTTATTTTTTCTTTCCTTTATTTTCTTTCTTTCTTTCTTTTCTTTTTTTTTCTTTCTTTTCTTTTTTTTTCTTTCTTTTCTTTAAAAATTTAGCCTACCTTTATACTGTAACTGTCATGAGTCAATGGAACACCTTCACGTGGATACTAAAGACAGCTTAGAAGATAAGGATGAAGACAAGGAGCTACAAGGAGAGCAGATTCTGCGACAATTACTCAACTTAATGAAGAATCAAAAAAAAAATTTTCGGCGATAAAAAAAAGACAGATTTGAAGAATAGAATGAAGACATCTCATTAAAAGGCAAGCTCAACATTAATGTATCAAATCAATCGAGCATACATTACAGACATCAATTAATAACAAGAAACGAGGAAAAATATATAATCCGAAAAGATTATATGCAGTTTATCAGAAATAAAATCATCGTCGGATTCAGAAGCACTAAGAAAAATGCAAAAAAATGAAGAACCAAATCAGAAAAAACTCAAATCGCACGAGAAGCTATAGAGGTATGTGGAATCAAAATTCAGCGTTTACTTGAGAAAATCATGAGAAAACAGACAATAATTTCTAATTTTCACAAGTTTTAAATCTCTGTGCATTAATTCAAGAATTTTCTGACTTTACAGAAGCTGTTGAAGCCAAACTTCATCAATTAACAACAGCTGAAATTAATTGTCATCAATTATTGTGTTTGTCTAAATATAATTTTGCAAAAATCAAATTAAGTTTATCTACCAATTCATTCATCCCTCGTACAATATGGGTGTGTAAATGAAAATTAATGTGTACTTGAAAATTCATCAAAAACCAGCTAAAAGGACCTTTACTGGAACTCAAGGACGGTTCTTAAAAGAATCGTGAAACATTTCTGGAAGCAAAATCACTGGGAACAAGGAGTAAGTTATTGCTACTTTAATTCTTCATCACTATGATCCTTCCGTTTTCTTGAAAATACTCCATCTTATTTTTATACTCGTTCTTTTTATACGAAAAATGGAATCACTTGCCTAAAATTGTCTCTGCTGAGAAAAATGATTACAATTAATTGCTTCTCACGCTTATTCTCACTTTTTCTCCATGATAACAATTCTTTAAAATTAATTTTTTCCAGCCAAGCACGAATTCAAGCTTAATTCTACAGGAAGCACCGTCTGAACCAATAACCATATAGCAAGATGTATCGCCAGCTTAAAGTTCTGCATCGCTATATCCACCAGGGATTTCTGATGAACTCAGCATTTACGTCAACAAATAGTAAGTAAACTTTACCTGATAATTTAAATAATTTTTTTTATTCCATTTTTAGGTTTCTTGTATCTTTTAAATTAGAAAATGCCCCACCGTCCTGCCCAATTTTTTTTTTTTGGTACTTCGAATTCTTACAATTTTGTGCAAAATACAGTAAAAATATATCTGATCTTAATTGGGCGACAAAAGTAACACGAACCAAATTGATGGGGCCAGATTATTAAGTGCATGAAGTAGATGCTGAATATAATACAATTTCATGACTTGAAGATATGAGCAGCTGGAAATAAGGTATGAATTGAGTCATATTTGCTCAAATGTTTACATAGATCCATCAATTATCTTTCAAACATGTAACCACAAACTTGAAATGTTTTAATACAGGAATTCTCTCAACGTCTGACAAGACAGCCATTTATCAAGATGAATCGCCAGTTTCAAGTTCTGCAAATAGTAAGTCAATTTCAGCATTAATTTTATATAATCTTTTTTTATCTTCCATTTTTGGGATTTTTATGTCTTTAAAATCAGGAATTGCCCCACCGTCCTGCCCAAATTTTTTTTGGGCACTTAGAATGTTTACAATTTTGTGAATTATACAGCAAAAATTTTTTTGGCCTAATTGGGTGATAATATCAAGACTTTTGGGAATCATCTATCTCCGTGGCAGCTTTACAATTGGTATTGTTAAATCTTCAAGACGTGGTACAAAGATTGTACATTGATTGTTATACATTGAAGAAGGTCAGACTGAATATTTGGAAGAATCAAAGATCAAGTCAGTTGTCACCAAACACTACCAATTTATTCGCTATCGAATTAAGTAAGTCATAGAAAAAGAACGTAAAAAGGCAGATAATTACATTGGAAAAGATCTAAATATCAGTAAGTTAAAGGATAAGAAAAGAAAGACAAGTCAAAGATTAAACATAACAAAACTAAGCCAATTTGGACGTGTAAACCAGAAGATATTACAACTAAAGAACATGGTGAATTGTACAAGAGCTTAAAAACGACTCGGATGATCATCTGGCTCATGACCCAAAAGCATGAAAACTTAATCCTAGTCAATGAAATATTCAACGTTCAATGCCCCAAAAGCATGAAAACTTAATCCAAGTCTATGAAATATTCAGCGTTCAATGCCCCAAAAACATGAAAACTTAATCCTAGTCTATGAAATATTCTGCGTTCAATGCCCCAAAAGCATGAAAAATTAATCCTAGTCTATGAAATATTCTGCGTTTAATGCCCCAAAAGCATGAAATCTTAATCCTAGTCTATGAAATATTCAGCGTTCAATGCCCCAAAAGCATGAAAACTTAATCCTAGTTTAGAAATATTTTGAGTTTAATGCCCCAAAAGCATGAAAACTTAATCCAAGTCTATGAAATATACAGCGTTCAATTGCCCAAAAGCATGAAAACTTAATCCTAGTCTATGAAATATTCAAATTCAATGCCCCAAAAGCATGAAAACTTAATCCTAGTCTATGAAATATTCAGCGTTTAATGCCCCAAAAGCATGAAAACTTAATCGAAGTCTATGAAATATTCAGCGTTTCATTCCCCAAAAGCATGAAAACTTATTCCAAGTCTATGAAATATTCAGCGTTCATTGCCCCAAAAGCATGAAAACTTTATCCTAATCTATGAAATATTCAACGTTCAATGCCCCAAAAGCATGAAAACTTAATCCTAGTCTATGAAATATTCTGCGTTCAATGCCCCAAAAGCATGAAAACTTAATCCAAGTCTATGAAATATTCAGCGTTTAATGCCCCAAAAGCATGAAAACTTAATCGAAGTCTATGAAATATTCAGCGTTTCATTCCCCAAAAGCATGAAAACTTATTCCAAGTCTATGAAATATTCAGCGTTCAATGCTTTAAAAGCATGAAAACTTAATCCAAGTCTATGAAATATTCTGCGTTTAATGCCCCAAAAGCATGAAATCTTAATCCTAGTCTATGAAATATTCAGCGTTCAATGCCCCAAAAGCATGAAAACTTAATCCTAGTTTAGAAATATTTTGAGTTTAATGCCCCAAAAGCATGAAAACTTAATCGAAGTCTATGAAATATTCAGCGTTTCATTCCCCAAAAGCATGAAAACTTATTCCAAGTCTATGAAATATTCAGCGTTCAATGCTTTAAAAGCATGAAAACTTAATCCAAGTCTATGAAATATTCTGCGTTTAATGCCCCAAAAGCATGAAATCTTAATCCTAGTCTATGAAATATTCAGCGTTCAATGCCCCAAAAGCATGAAAACTTAATCCTAGTTTAGAAATATTTTGAGTTTAATGCCCCAAAAGCATGAAAACTTAATCCAAGTCTATGAAATATACAGCGTTCAATTGCCCAAAAGCATGAAAACTTAATCCTAGTCTATGAAATATTCAAATTCAATGCCCCAAAAGCATGAAAACTTAATCCTAGTCTATGAAATATTCTGCGTTCAATGCCCCAAAAGCATGAAAAATTAATCCTAGTCTATGAAATATTCTGCGTTTAATGCCCCAAAAGCATGAAATCTTAATCCTAGTCTATGAAATATTCAGCGTTC